CTATGTCGATGCGAACGCTTCGTAACGCCGGGGAGCCGGGTTCGATCCCAGGAGCGGGCATTGCGCCTTGCGTTGGTTTCGATAGTGGTATCAAGAAAGCTGACCGTCCAGAGGCAATAGCAAACTACTAGACGTAAATTTGCCTAGAGAAGCCACACAACAACCAGGAGCTGATAGGGTTGGTTCTGCAGTGTCCTGTAAAGGATATGCAACTAACCTTAAATTCTAGGATGAAAACTTGATTTCAGCCAGAGAGCATGAAATCGTGTGTATCCTTTTCCGGCTGCAACCAGAACAGTTTGATACTCTGAAATCGGAAGAGCTCACTCTACACAACGCTTACAGCCTTCGCCCGAGCAAGACGTTGAACGCGCAAGCCCGCCTCGCCTGAACACGTTGCCCCGCTAACTATCCATTCGTTGCCTGATTATCGATAGCCAGCTACTGGACAGAATCGCTTGATATTCGGCTGAGTCTGTCTCGACTGAGCTATCGGAGTCGGCTGCGGGTGGGTCATTAGCAGCCCGTGTACGCATCTAGCCAACGACAACCACCAGCAACACAGATCTACAAGAAGCAACAGAGGAAGGAACAACGCCCTAGGTAATTATAATTTACATTATAAACTTTCTAAACCGAGACCTAGGGCGTGCGTTTAACCTCTAAATAAATTCGAGAACTTTTTATTATCGTCGTAGAAAATGGACACTGCGCCCATTACGATTGAATCACCAGCACAGGGGACCGCTCCTCCGGGAGCCGACCCTTCAGGGGTGCCTGTTGCCGCCTCAGTTGCGACGCAAGGACCCCCTCGCCAACGCAAGCAGCGGCAGCCTGAGACCAGCACACCAGACATCATGCAGTGCTCGCGCTGCAATAAGGCGTGGCATACAGCTTCGTCCTGCCGCAGCAGCCTCTCGTGCAGATACTGTTCTGGTACGCACGAATTCAAGGAGTGCCCGCTGGCTAAAATTGACACTAATTTTAAAAGACCGAACAGCAACCGCAAGTGCTCCAACTGTTCCGGTGCGCACGGCGCGAGATACATGGGCTGCCCGTATCTCCAGCAGTGCAAAAGATCACTTAGAACCGCCCACGAAGCAGCCAGACAGAGATACGTGGCACCCAGGTCCTCAGCAGCACCAAAGCAACCGAGTGGGAAGCCAGCACAACGGACAACAGACAGACTAACCGACAAAACGATCACAGCCGCAATGGACCCTGAAAAAATCTCTGAAATTTTAGCGGAAATCAGAGCTCTCCGCAAAGAAAAGTCCGACACCGACGCTGACAGAACGCAGATGCTAGACCTGATTTCGCAGATGCGTGACGAAATCAAAGCACTGAAAGACGACAGACAAGAACAAGTATCGCAGCAAACAAAGTGGCTAGCAGAGGCTGCACGAATGCAAGAAAACCTGACAGAAATAACACTTAAGTTACAAGCAGAGAAAGCTGCAGACGAGACCCGCCGACAGAAAGAAAGGGAGGAGAGACGAAACGAAACCGAAGCACTTAGGGAAGCCCGCGAGAGCACCTATAAAGAAGTCACCCTTATGATCCAGGCAAAAGCAGAAGCCGAAGCTGCAGTGCTGGCGGCAAGAACAGAGCGCGCCCTGCTAGAGAAAGCAAGAGAGGCCTCCAGCAAAACTGTAAAACAACCAAATACCGACAAAAGCACACTTACCGAAGCGGTAGTGATGCAGCACCAGGCACAGATGACTGATGCCACGACAATTGAAGTACGAAGCGAGACACCTACCAGGCAGCCAGCCACCCCACGCGTAAACCAGAATGCGACAGCCGTTGTAACTTGTGAGGCTGACCTCCAAGCGATGCTAGAAGATATCAACGAGCAGGTGGCTCCGCACAGGCTGGAGTTTGTCGGCCCATTCGACAAATACGTTATCAACTACGCAGAAGAAGACGGAACACCTGAACGACTCCTAAGGTACAAAAAAGTTGACCGACTCTGCAAAGAGATTAACGCAGCAGTGAGACAGCTCCGGGAGTCAAAGAGAAAGCAGGGCAAAAATGGCACACCGAATAGAAGTGGCAACCGCCAAATCTAAAGAGCCACAGAAAGAGCCCACCAAACAATCCGCCATCTTTAAGGACAGCCTTAAGCAAACAACCACCAACCGGACGGCGGGTCGACGTACCGGAGCCACTCCCACCCGCTCCGCCCCACTGGCAAATTACCACGTAATCACCATTGAACTAACCAAAATCTTAATCTAGTTTATTTTCAGAAAAAAGAAGACAACGGAAAATACCAACAGGCCGCCCGACGCCCCGAAGCAGACAGCCGAGGGCATTGCACCAAAGGGGACCAGCACTTGGGAATCCCAGTCACCGTCATGCCACCCCACCCCACCCCACGTGTATGTTAACAATTGCCTCTCACTTCTATTTCAGACCAAGCGACCTCAGCCGACCGGGATGGATCCTGCCTCTATCTGTCACTCTCATTCTCCCGACCTCACTATCACATCCACTGGCACATTCGGGCAAACTGACCTCTCATTTGCAGTCTATCTCACCTCCACTACTTCTCCACACTCCGTGGAAAAGAAAAAAAAAAAGGAAAAAAAAAAAAAAAAAAAAAAAAAAAAAAAAAAAGATTTTTATTTTTTTTTGGGCCGATCACAACAACAGATTGTGACGGCCCTGTTTGTCCTGAAAAGGAACATTGTTCGTATCGACGGAGCAACGGATATTTGTTTGGCTTTTTCCGGCGGCTTTTAGATCGGCAACCAAGCAGCAACAGGGCACCAGCACAGCGACCAGCACGAGGCAAGCCAAGCACCAGCAACAGTCAGCTAGTACCCTTCAATATCATCGCAAAGAGATCTGGATCACACCAGAACCCAAAACCGCAAACAACGCAGCACAGCAAGGAAGCAAACAACAATAATATCAGGTGTGTCTACACACCACAAATAAAAGGAAACCATATAAGACAGCAAAGGACCCTTCTTCGATATAGCAGGCCTTCGGGCGGCTGAAAGAGGATCAAGTTTGGAATTTTTCTTGGACAACTGGCAATGGCAATGGGAGCTCACTCTAGATTGCAGACCAACAGGACCGGAAGGTTTGACATCATAGGGCTTAAAGTTAAAAGTTAAAAAGTTTGACACCATAAGGTTAAAAGTTAAAAGTTAAATGGTTTGACACGATACGGCTAAAAGTTAAAAAGTTTGACACAAACAGACTTAAAGCTAAAAGTTGACAGAATCGACGTTATTGCACGTTTTTTTTTTTTTAAATCCTATATGGCTCGGTCTCTCTCCACAGGACGGCTAGCCGCCTAACAAAAGCACCTCGCATTGTACAAACTCCGTAGCTCAGGCGACGATCCCCAGGGGTCTCCATAAAAATTGTACCTGTGAACTGAACGGCGCCGCCGTGAAACGACTCTCAACATTTAGAACGCGAGGCAAACGGCTTGGAAACTTCACCATGGAGACTCCCATAGGCTAAAGAGACTAAGTGCTGGTCACAGCCCAGATACCCCACCAGGACTGCACAACGAGCCACCATCACCCAGTGACAAAAAGTGCCACTATTCGGATGAGAATCACCCAAGTAAAAGTCCAAGAAACCCAATTTAACTATAGCTGGGATGGGGCTTTAAAATAACTAAAATGGGGTTCCATAATAAGGCGAGGTTATCGGTAGAAACGACAGGTAAAGCCGAGAGAAAGTAGGTCAGGTGTACTAATCGTCGGAACTCAAATTGGGTAGCTGTAAGTGGTGAACGAGGGGAAAACAACATTGTCTCAAATATTTAGGTCATCAGAAAAATAACTGAGAAAAGATTCAACGAAAAAGAAGCGGAAGAAAAATAAGTCCAATCAAAGTAATGACTATAAAAGTGCCAAGAATATGTACGCGTTGAAGGGGAACAATCATAAATCCAGGTACAAGTCAACAGACATTCATCTTTAAACTTGTACGTGTAAAAGAAAATACAAAAACTGGCATGGAGAAATATCCTCAAAATAAGTGATCTACACCACTAACGTCTCAATTCTGTGGCGATACATGATCGCCTACACCACCTGGCAAATAACACAATCAGTGTGATGACATAAAATAATGCGGTACAAAACTAAAAACAAATGCAGCATTTTAATATCCATTTATTTACAAATTGCTCATAAAAATACACATGCAAATTTTGGCAATAAATGGCATTTAGGCAATAAATAACTTGACTTGAGCTGGAAAGGTGATAGTCGTTTGTACACTTTAGTAGGTCATTTAAAAATGTTTTCTCCAGTGAATGTTCTAACCCAAGATCTTTTAGATGTCAGACGGTTGCACTACTCCGGCTAGCTACACAGCTGCTATATATTTTATGTATATTATTTCCCACTTAAAGAAAGAAGGTTTAAGCTCCTTAATCCCCCCTTCCCCAGTGTTATCTTTGAGTCGGTGCTCTGATATGTGCTAATGCTAAGTAGATGAAGTTTTTCATTTGTCTGTTTACGAAATCAAAATAGGATTTGAAACATGTTATCAGATAATTATATTTAGTAAATATTAACCTATACAAGATATTAATGCAGATAAGACATGAGTTAGAGGATAATAGTCCTAATCGGATAATTTTTATAAAGCACTATTTGCCATATTAACTCTTTAAAAAAAATTAGAAACGCAATGAAGGCGTTGTTTAGGAAATATTAACCCTTATCAGAAAATATTTAGAAAGTAATGTTTAGCCGATACTTACCCTTATCAGATAACGTTTAGCTGGCATTGTTCAGCAGATATTAGCTTTTGTCAGGTAATAGTTAAAAGGCAGTGTTTCTCAAACATTAACCGTTCTTAGATGAAGTTTAGTTGGCATTGTTTAGCAGATATTAACGCTTATCAGGAAACATTTGAAAGGCAATGTTTAGCCACTATTATCCCTTCTTAAAGATGTTTAACTTGCATTATTTAACAAATATTATCACTTACACATATAAACGTTTAGTGCAGACAACATTCTAAATATCGGCCTGCCACATAACCTGGCAGCTTGTCCTGGATGTGTTGGCCTTTCCTCTTGATGACGTTTGGGGCAAACACATTAACAGTTGGTACAATCTCTCGGAGACACAGTGCATCTTGTATGGAGAGTTCAGTTTACGAGGATGTTGCTGAAATATTTTCAAAAGTAATATAAATATTTGGATGCCAGTGAAAGAGTATCAGTTATGAGTTATCTTCACAGCACCCTGGACACACCCATAGGAGCTCAGATTCCCCTCTCAATATATTCATCAGCGTCGTGCGGTTAATAGTGACAGTCCTATGTTGGTTAACAAGATTTCGCCCGGTGTGCTTCTCAAGCTTAGTTGAGCCGTTCTTTACTCCCAGTTATCGTATTCTTAGCAGTGATGTGGACACGTTGCTTCCAAAATCTCCAGAACGTCCTAACTCTCATAGGGCAATGACAATGTCTGCGTGATTCATAGCACCTGCCAGTTTATCAGCTCTTTCATTACCAACAACGCCTGCATACCCTGGGACGAATATGAAGGTAAGTACACACACAGAAGTTTTGCAGTGACTCATTACCAATGTCTGCTTAAGCAGCTTGCCTCGACGGGCCGGATCATGCTCAAAGAATCACTCAGCACACAGACTCTGGAACAGTTCATGTGATTCTAGCCACATGAAAGCTTGTGTCACCGCCATAACCTCCATCGTCAAATTATAATACAACGACACTTAAATGCATTTCAGAACAAAAATCGGAGACAAATGATAAACAGAAAACGGGACGAATTCAAGAGGAGTGAAGAAATTAAACTTCGTGGTTCCCACTGCTATCGATAGTTATAAGACAGAAAAGATGGCAGTATAATGGGCATATTTCGCGAAGAGATGAACAGTGTACGACCAAACAGGCACTGAAGTGGGAAATAGATAAACAGAGCAAAAGAGGCCGGCGAAGATAAACCCTATGGCGAACTTTGATGATAGAATCCATTCCAGTGAAATATGACTAAAAAGTCTAACGAAATGAGGAAGCAGAAAAACGTGCACAAAACAACACAAATAACGTTTCGGCCGGCAGCCTTTGTCAAACATGAAGTGAACTACACAAAAGTGACAAAGAGGAGAGTATTCATATCTCTAAGTGGTGACGTAAGCAACGTTTCGAAAAATGTAATGTGAAATGAATTATATTAAATAAAGTTAACGACGACTCAAAAATATAAAGCTGTCAAAAATAAACAGTAAAATTGTTCAACAATATTACTTTTCATTTTATTTTTCTGCTTCCCCATTTCGTTAACCTTTTTAGTCACTTTTCCCTGGAATTTATTGTATTAGCTTGACTGCAGTCACCCCCATATTTTCACCATTTTTTGAGAGAAGCCAATTTTCTGTACCGATCTCGTACAAGTGATTGCGCAGGATAGAAAGGAATGGAGAAATAGACTACTAGCTTTATTTGAAATGTAATGTGATAACAGCACAATAAATGAATGGGAATAAACTCACAAGGAGCAAGTACAGCAGGGATCTACCAGTCGTCAGTAGAAATTATCCTCGGCGACAAGTGTTTCGGCCCACGATTCCTAGACGCTTTCGGAGGTGGGCCCACCTGAGTTCATGAAGCTCAGGGCTGGTTCCCTGCTGCACGAAATTACCAATTGGTGTTTTCCTTTCGGATAGAGACAAGACGACTTGGTGGTTTGCAGAAGGTACTGTGAGATAAGAAGTCGCCGCGGCAGCCTAATTAAAGCAGTCAGCGTGCCTGGACGACCGAGCGACAAGCTTACGATTGGTTTACCGAACACATGTTGGACTTTTGTTAGCAGGTGGCAGAGGAACACTGGCAGACAATTCGGACACGATGGACTTACAAGGGGTGAGAAACCCTTTTCCGCTAGACACCCGGACCAGCTCACCGAGGCCCGTCCCCTACGTTGTTGCGTTGCGTCCAAAGCCAGCTCGAGGCCCTTTCGGCTACCTCGCCCAGTTTTTTAAGTGTTCGTTTCCGTTCATTACCGCGCAATCCTAGTTCTTTAACCACATTGTAGAGCGAAGTGGAAACGAGGCCTCTCGCTCCCACTTCGACGGCAAAGACCCGTACTGTGTACGCCTCGTTTTTCCTCAGACCGGCTGCTAAATCACTGTATTTCTCAAGCTTATACATGTGATTCTCTTCCATACGCGACTCAAACGGGACGGTCAACTCAATCAGGATGAGCTGCCGTTTTTGCGCAGAGTGATCTTGGAACGCACTTCCTCAGAAATCATCAAAGGTGCTCCTCCGCAGTCGACGTCATGGGCCTCTCCGGGCGAGTGGGGTTCACCCTGCCCGTCGTTCCCTGACGACTCAGAAACCACCACAGGAGTAGTAGTTTTGCGACGGCGTTTACTGCGTGGAGCACCCTCGCATTTCATTCTTCCGGCATGCGTTCTCAGACCATGCAACCCCGTGAAGCTTTTCCAACATGTACAGAGCCAGCCCGGACGTTGGGCGAGTATCTGAGTCCGGGGGCTAGCATAGTCGTCACCGAGAGTATCAATTTGATTAAGCCCTTCATTCTCCCCCCCCCCCTTTTCGGAGGGCCCTGGGGGCATATTTCTATGTGGTTGTACGAAATCGGAGGTATTATACTGTGTTAGGGGTGATCAACCCGGTCCACAGTCGACATCTGTCTCCAGATGTCAGTTTATCCCCCCGGCGATACCGGGATCCCAGTCTTTCCATAGGTGTCACATTGTCTTTTCCGAGAGTCACCAGTCTTTCCTGGTAGTCTTGTGGGCTAGCCACGTACAATAGGAATAAACTCATAGGGAGCAAGTACAGCAGGGATCTACCAGTCGTCAGTAGAAATTATCCTCGTCAACGAGCGTTTCGGCCCACGATTCCTAGACGCTTTCGGAGGTGGGCCCACCTGGGTTCATGAAGCTCAGATCTGGTTCCCTGCTGCACGAAATTACCGGATGGTGTTTTTCTTTCGGATAGAGAAAAGACGACTTGGTGGTTTGCAGAAGGTACTGTGAGATAAGAAGTCGCCGCGGCAGCCTAATTAAAGGCAAAGGCAAACTCATCATCATCATGTAGCAGGTCCTTTGCAGGACGTCGTTCTCATCACAGTCTGTCTGAAAGAAACTCGGTACTTTCATACTCAAGGAGTCACTTATATCCTGTGCCCATTTTCGTGTCGGTCGGCAAACTACTGAATGTAAAAATATGCCTGGAAAAATTACAACATTCCAAAATTGCTGGGGCTGGTTTTGCAACGTCCTGTAAAAGATGCGCAACTAACAACAAAGTAATTTATTGTTGTATATACTAAAGCTCATATGTAAACCTAAAGATGGAGGGTTGAAAACACTTTTTTTTTTAGAAATGCCCGTGGCTCCCACTGGTCGATAACATACCGGTTTGGCAATAATATACCCAGTACGTCCAAGGAACATAAAAATGGTGCTTTACTTTTAAAAGCTCTCTATTCTCAAACTTGCCAAATAGAAAGAAGTCACACTAAATAACTTGCCTACTCAAGGAGCCACACACATACCTCAAGAATGAATAAAAAAAAAGCAAACATCACTGCACTCGGAACACTCTCATATGTGATCAGTCTCCTTCCTCATTAGTCAACGAAAAAGTCCCCATGCTAATAGAGCTAATTACATACTGATTAAAAGACCTCATATTTCTTCTCCTTTCCTCCGCCCCCCTATCTCTCCGCCCCCCTTTCTTCTTGTGACATTTACCTGAAAGTTGTATCAGCTTGAGATTTCAAAACCTGAATTTTTGAATTTTTATGGCAGACCACCAAAGCAAATGCTAGATACCCCGTTCAGGCTCCAGAGAATTTATCATTGGCGCATTCGCGAACAACTGCACCAGCCTGATATAACCTGCAGTCTTACCCGGCTAAAGATTGTAGGGGTAATGAAATCCAGCCTATCTTGTTTCTACCCTTATATACCTAAATAAAGAAGTAAAAAATTAAGATAATTTTTAAAAAAGCAATATAAATCCTATATTGATATACGGGTGTAAACCACAAACAGTTAGTAAATTAGTGCAAACTTTTTTGGAAGCTGCAGAAATGTGGTTTTGTAAACGAATGATGATAATACACATGACAGATAAAAAGAGTAATAAAGACATATTGAAAGAAACTGACTCACGAAAAGAACTGATTGCCCACATCAGAAAGAGAAAATCTACATTCTTTGGTCATGTGATGAGAAGGAGAAAACTGGAGTAACATCGCAGTAGAAGAAAAGTCGGAGGGGAGGAGAGGCAGAGGTAGACGGAGAGAACAGATGCTGGACGGTGTGAGATCATGCCATGAAAGATCATCTGTGTCAGAGTTGACTGAAAGTAGTAAAGTACACGAAACAGAAGATTGTGGATAGACATGACTACCAACGCATACACAGTATACACTTTAAGAAGAAAAAGAAGAAGAAGAAGAAGTCGAATTCAAATATGCATTTCACACAAACCGAATGGCTAAGAAGAGCAGAGCTGTCATGCGGGAGACTCGGGTTCGAAACCTAGAAGTTTGGGGAATTTATTTTTTTTTTAAATGGGGAAAAATCCTAACCTGCCAAGGAACTTTTTACATGCGCAACAATACACACAAACGTCCGTTCTTCCTACCCAGAGACAAGGTGAAATTACTAGAAGTCCATGTAAAAAAAACCCGGCCTTTATTTCACAAGCCAAACTAGGACAGACACTCTCGCGTGTATAACTAAGTCAGACGAAACCTGCATAAATTGAGCGAACAAAATAAAATTAGAAATGAGAAGTAGAACCTGTGAACCTGCCAAGAACACAGTAACGAGTGAAACAATGAACGTTAGGCTTAAAAGCCTTCGTCAGCATGCAACAACAAACGGACAGAGATACTGTCCATTAATTTACAGTTAAAAATCGGGTTAATCCTATCCCAGATACTTACATACAATCCGTCCTTGTACCCGATACAAGATGGCATCCTGCTGCTACAGGGCTCACAATGGGCGCTTCCACATTTGTTAGCCAGGTAATCGCCTGCAGAAAAACCAGTTATGGGGTTCAAATATCACATTTATCATTGTTTTTGATGAACGATGTTCGTAATATATCTAACTCTTTCTTTCTTGTTTTCTTTCTTTCTTCTTTCCTTCTTTTCTTCCTTTCATTTCAACTCTTTCTTTAGTTCGGTTTATCTGTTATCTTTATTCTTTCTTTTTGTTTTTTTGTTTTTGTTTTTCTGCCTATATCTTTCTTTACTTCTTTATTCATCTCCTTGTGTTTCATTTTGCTGCTCGTATACTTTAACATAAAAGATGTCCTATCATCAAGTGCCATGCCGACTGAGTCGGCGATCGTACCTCTTCACGATCTGCGATCCGGCGTTGCAGGTCTAAGTGGTGTGTTGACACTCCTCCATGCCATGATAAAAGGCTGTCCAGAATATTCTCGCGCTGTCTTCCTCTGTCTCTCTTTCCGCAGATCTTTCCAGTGGTCACAACATGTTCCATTTCCCTCTTCTCATAACAACACCCCCCCCCCCCCCCCCCCCCCCCAAAAAAAAAAAAAAAAAAATTATGACTGTCTCTTTCTGATGTTTGTGTTAACTTGTCTCAGAGCAATCACCTCTTTCAAAACATCTGCGTGACTCTCCTGGGCTGTCAAAGAAATTGTAAGGATTTTTCTGTACAACAACATCTCTACGACCTCAAGATTGTGTTCGGCTTGTTAAGTAATTGCCCAGGATTCACAGCCGTATGTTAAAAGTGGCTTTGTATAGCATGCGAGAATTCTTTTCCTAACCTCCAGTAACATAAATTTTTGCCATAAAATATTCTTCATTTGATAAAATGCAGTTTTGGCTTGTCCTATTCTGTTCTTGATCTCGATGATAAAACATGTCTACATGTCTGTATTTTGTTGTGAATTCAGTCCTAGTAGCTTTCTTTCTTGTGAATGTTCTTGCTGCTTACGCTCCTGCATATACATATGATCCTTCCACTGGCATTTTATCATTCTTCGTCATCATCATCATCATCATCAATTGCCCTGCCGACAAGTGTGTGCGACCATGTCCCCACAGTCTGCGATCTTGAACAGCATGTATCAGTATCATGTATCAGTATTATGTATTAGTATCATGTATCAGTATCATGTATCAGTATAATGTATCAGTATCATGTATCAGTATCATGTATCAGTATCATGTATCAGTATCATGTATCAGTATCATGTATCAGTATCATGTATCAGTATCATGTATCAGTATCATGTATCAGTATCATGTATCAGTATCATGTATCAGAATCATGTATCAGTATCATGTATTAGTATTATGTAGCAGCCTATTATGTAAATATATAATTAAAGGGATAAACTATTTTTTGCGCCATTAGGCAAAAAACCAAAATTGATACCCTGAGCGCTTTAAACAGTGGGTGGGAGGGGAATAACACTTTTGTTGTGGCTTACAGCTAGGCTGGGATATCTGCACCTTTCGGCAAAAGACATCTAATTTTAACAAATCCCTAAATAGTCGCACTGAATGACATGCTTAAAAGAGGAAAGGGGTCTATTCTACGTTTTCCCGACAACTTGACTTAGAACGATCGAGAATGCCTATGTTACTTCTTCTTCTTTTTCTTCTTCTTCTTCTTCTTCTTCTTCTTCTTCTTCTTCTTCTTCTTCTTCTTCTTCTTCTTCTTCTTCTTCTTCTTCTCCTTCTCCTTCTTCTTCTTCTTCTTCTTCTTCTTCTTCTTCTTCTTCTTCTTCTTCTTCTTCTTCTTCTTCTTCTTCTTCTTCTTCTTCTTCTTCTTCTTCTTCAGCATTCCGAGCCCTTGAGGTTCATTGATGCAGATATCTCTGGTCTCCATTCATCTCTCTGATTGGCCTTCTCTTTCCAGTTGGTGACACCAAGTGTTTGCAGATCTGTCTGGACTTTATCTCTCCATCGTCTTCTTGGTCTGCCTCGTGGTCTACAACCATTCATCTCCCTGGTGTATTCAGTTTTACCTCTCTGTCATGTGACATTTTTTTTTTAAATATTCAACAACCATTCATATGTTACTTAAGCAGCAACAACAACAAAAATGTTACTTATGTTACTTAAGCAGCAACAACAACAAAAATGTTACTTATGTTACTTAAGCACACACACACACACACACACACACACACACACACACACACACACACACACACACACACAATTTAAAAAGAATCATTAGAAACCGAACATTATAGAAAAAGTACAAAACGGACACTTACAGGGATCTTTGGCTGCAACTCTAAACATGTCGCAGACGGCTTCACTGTATGGCTTGCACCTCAGCTCCTGAGCGTCGAACAGCTGAGGGTACGGGCATTCGGCTTCATATTTTCCGAAGTATCGGTTCCACTGCTGGCCGGTCTGTGAACAGTTGTAGTATCTCTGGCAGGCTGTTGCATGAGGAATCAGTTTCGCTGCGCCACCGGAACAAGCTTATATGAAAAAATAAAG